ATAAATGAAAAAAAGAAGAAATAAAGTATGAATAAATTTATTGAAAAATAAAAAAAGATCTAAAAATTATGATAAACAAATTATTGAATATTATGTGATTAATATTAATGGTATTGAAATAACTATGATTGAATAAATAAAAGTTATTCAAGTAGATAGCAAACAGAGTTGAATATAAAACAAAGAAATAAAATATTATAGAGATAACAAATATAATACCATCAATAAATTAATACATAAATCAGTACAAATACTCTTATTAATGAGGTTTCAATTAAATAAATAACATAATTAATAAATAACACATGGATACTCATATTTTATTCATTAAATTAATAGATTATAAAATATTTTAATATGAATATGTCAGAAATAATTTATATAATTTAAATAAAAGCACATCAAATTCATTGAAATAATTATTTGTCAATGTGTATAATAATTATGGACATGTAGAACTTTATTTCATTAAATTTCTAAAAGTATGAATTTAAAAAATTTCTTTTTAAATATTGAAATTATTTTTTTGATCAAGTTCATTACTTAGACTTAATTTGATTAGCAACCCATTTCATTCCAGCATCTAAACCACTTCCAGTAATTGCACTTGTGTTAAATATATTCCAAGTGTGATCTTTGATTGTATGTAATAACAATTTATCGGATATTTGGGCAGATGACAAAGCTCCTTCCATATCTTGTTTATTTGCAAAAACAGCAATTACAGCGTCTTTCAATTCTTGCTCTTTTAGCATTGAGTGTAACTCATCTTTAGCAACAGACAATCTGTCTGTTGCAGTTGAGTCTACAACAAATATGATTGCACTACACTTTTCATAATAACACTTCCAGTAAGGTCTTAAACTACTCTGTCCTCCTAAATCCCAAACTTTGAAATGAACATTTTCATAATCGATTGACTCTACATTAAAACCAATTGCTACACCGGTTAAACCTTAAAACACTTTTGTCTTTTCTTACAAAAAAGATCCCTTTTATAAATTTGTTGAAAAATCACCAACAGAAAGAGAAGACAAAAACTTGAAAGAAAAGTGACAACAAACTAGGCATTGTTTGAATTACCTTTCCACATTGTAATTTATATAAAATAGTTGTTTTTCCAGCTGCATCTAAACCTAATATCAAAATTCGAACTTCTTCTTGACCAAAGAGAGAAGTAAACCAAGAAAATATTTGTCCTAATCTTTAACTATTCTAAATCCATGAAAAAATAAAATGCAAATAACAAACCCATCTAATTTATGAATTAAAAGTTCTAAATTAAAAAAGTTCAAGAAAGGGAATTATGATTTCTTTCCTTTATTGTCTTAATATTTTCTTATCCATTTAGTCTCATCTGTTAAACAGTCATGGAACAATTCTTTTATTACTCCTACTGATAAGTCTCATAAGTAAAATATTTTTTTTAAATGATATATTTTTTTTCTTTAAAACTCTTTCTGTTTTCTGTTCTTGGGTTTCAGATGTGATTTTAAAGATAACAAACAACAACAAAGAGAAAAGAGGAATGAATAAAGGGAGGGTGGTTAGTAGAAAAAGGAAGAGAAGAAAAGAAAAAAGATAATAAAGAAGAATAAAAGAAAGAGAGATTAAAAGAAGAAAAAGTGGAAATGATTAAAAGAAAAACTAAAAAATTAAAAGAAATGTCGAAGTTAGTGTTCACAACAAAAGGGAAAGAACACATTATTAAGAAGAACGTCATTCACAACCTCCAATCTAGTGCTTCATATAGAATTGGAAACACACAAGTAGTTTGTGGGATTAGTACTGAGATAGTTCAAATGATTCAAGATGGAAAAGAACCACAACACATTGAGGTCGAAATAAAAAGAAGTGGATTAAATGAAGATAAATCAGCTATGATTGAGAGTATTCAGAAGTGGATAGAAGAAGTATTGAATGACAAAGATCTATTTGGGAATCGAGAAAAATTTATAGTTAGTACAGAAGACAAAGAAACAAGTTTTTACCAAAAGATTCGTTTAGTTAATTATATTATTGATGACGATGGATCAGTTTTTGATGTAGCAATTTTAGCAAGTATCACAGCATTACTTACACGTTTGTTTAATAAAAAATGATAAAAGCTAAAAAAAAGAAGATTAAAAGAAGTAGTTGAGTTGCAAGAAATGAAAATTGGATTGGATGGATTATGTTCATATGATAAAACAAAGAAATATCAACTCCATTTCAATTATCATCCAATTCCATTCAGTTTCTTTATGGAAAATGGAACAAAACAACAGCATATTTATCATTTATTCTCACAGAAACAGAAATT